CCCCCCCCCCCCCTCACCCCAAAAAAAAAAAATTACCCACAAAGTGATAAATTTTTGGGTTATAAAATAATCTACAAAAATTATAAAAACACTCATTAAATTGGTAAAAGTTAGAGGTATGGTACTGAATTTATGAACAATGATATGCTACACAAATATTTGCTTAAATTTTGTATTCCAAATCAACTTAGTTGGTTAGATTAGTAAGGTCCACTAACTCCACTAAATTATATAATAAAGTACAATATAATTTAAATCTAAAAGAGAAATAAAATGACTTTTACTTTTTGCAGTTAAAATATCTTTAAATTTTATTTTAAAGTTAATTTGACAGCTAATATTAACACCCCAAATTTAATAAGAAAATATACTCCTAAAAGTGTGTTTGAATTGACTTTTTAAAAGTATTTTTACAACTTATAACTTATTATAAGTACTTTAAAAAATAAAAAGTGTTTGAAATTGTCTCATCACCATCCCCCCCACCACCACTGCCACCCCACCACAACAACTACCCCAACCACCATCACCACTATAATTATCCCCACTGCCCCATTCCACTCCTACCACCACCATCACCTCTGCCACAATAATCACTATCGTCGTCACTACCGCTACTGTTGCCACCTCACTGCCCCACCACTATCATCACCACCATCATCACCACCCCACCACCACCACCACCCCATCATCATCGCCACCACCACCATAAACCACCGCCACCATGACCGTTGTTGTCACCCTACCATTATCGTCACTGTCCCACCATTACCTCTACCCCCCATCACACTTGTCGCCCCAGCACTACTACCGCCGTCGTCACCCCCACCACCCCTCCACCCCACTCTCATCACCTCCACCACAATTGCCACCCACCCACCACCGACTGCTTTCACTATCGTCCACTGCCACCACCCATCACTATTTTTATCTCATTGTTATATTTATTACCACCGTCACCATCATCTCATTATCACCGTTGCCAACCGTCAGCACCCACCACCACTATTGTTGCCCACTACCACCACCCATCATTGCCCTCCACTATTGTCATGCACCGTCACCCACCTCCAACCACACCTACCACCACCATCGCCATTCGTCACCACCTATCACTCTGTCGCTCAGAAGCATTTGTCGTCACCTACCATCACAATTGTCATCACTCATCATCGTCGTCACCCCACCACTACCATTGCTAACCACTATCACCATTGCCCACCACCACCTACACTTATCATCACCACCGCTATCACCCATGATTGTCATTACCACCATCATCACCCAAAATCCACCACCACCATCACTGTTGCTACTCATAGTTGCCACCATCATCATGATAGTCACTACCCACCACTACCATCATTGTCTCCCACTACCACTACTGTCGTCAACTACCACTACCACCACTCATCCCACTACAATCAGTACCTAAATTCTTTTCTATATCCTCTATGTTTGTGATTTGATTTTGGGAGTAAATATAAATATGTTTATTATTGACAAAAAAAAAAATTTATTTCGTGCCTTAAGGCACAAGGAATAACTGATATTTAATACATGAAATTTTGACATATTACTTAAAATATAAAATTTAGACAATAATTTATACAACATAGCTTTATCCCAAATATATTTCTTCTGTACCAGTCCCTACTCTTAATATCCGTCTAGTCTCTTTCTTTGCAGAAATAAATGAGCTGGAAGGAAAGGGCCTCAAAAAAGTGCGCGAAGAAAAGGATTGATGTTTGGTGATTTACCTGTCTGTCACTAAGATATTTTGTTGTTTTTTTAAATGGTTACAGAATTCGGATCAATTTATGTATATTTTAATTAATTTTTTCTCTGATTCAATTAATGACAGATCATCTACACTTCAGAATTAAAATATACATGAGAATAAATCTCACATGACTTAACCAAAAAATTATCAAAGATTCAAATTTAAAAATCTGAAACCTCGTGGCATTATTCGTAGCCTTTCTCTATAAGGAGCAAGAATATTATTGAATATGGCCCACGTTACATAACTCTGAAGCAGTCTCTGCAGGTCCAGGCCTTTTATGTGTAGCAAATTTGAACGAGTCTACCATACCCACCAGAAGTTGAATATCATATTAAAATTGATCGAGAGTCATAGATTTTAGTTTGATTTGATTGGATTATAACCATTGAGCGTAAAAATGTCAAAGTGTTATAAATAGTAAAATAAGAAAAATCTTATATATGTCACAATTTTATTAGATAAGCTTGATTTTAAACTTTAGATTATATCGGACCCACAAAATAAAATGTCATATGAAATTATAATTTTTTATTAGGATAAAATCATATTTTTTAATGGTTATATTAACTGATATCAACAAAAAAGGGATTACGTGTTACAAGTGCATAAACGTCATGAGATGTATGAGTAATATTCTAAATGTGAAGGGGTCCAAATGATTAAGTGACAAGCATGAGGAAATCTATGTATAATTTATCAAATTTAGTTTTAAGTGCAACTTGATACAAATTTTTATTTTTATGGGTGCAAATTGAGATTTTTTATCTTTGGAAGTGCACATTGATACAAATTATATCTTTGAGGGTGCAAATTGAGATTTTTTATCGTTGGGGGTACACATTGATACAAATTTCTATATTTTAGGGTCTAAATTAAAATTTAAACTATCTTTCGGAGTTCAACTTGTAATTAACCAAAAATAAAAATATAATACTGCAAAATTATATTTCGGTAGTGTATCGAATGCAACATACTAACATGGTGTCATTAATAATCATATATAGTCTGGTTTGTATAGCCCATTTACATGACCAGTCTGACAATTTCACCTTCGTCCGTCTTCTTGATCGCTTGAGATTAGTGATAGTACCATCAGAATTCATTAAAACTAAACTCAAATCCTCTAACTCTGTGTTGATTTTGTATCGAGATCACTGGCCGTATAATAGAATTACAACTCCTAAAATGTACCAAAGGGTGACTTAATGTACTAGTAGTTCTCATTCAGCAATTTGATCTTTTTGGTCAAGGCCCCTCTCTCTATATAGAGCATATTACTAAATACGAATTTTTTATGATTATTTTTAGTATTGTGTCAAAAGTTACGATCACCGGTTCAAGTAGACCACGTTACAACTAGACATAATTGAGCACCGATTGATCTGAATTACAATTTGAAGATCAATCGTAGACCATCTTATGGTACCCATTTCGTACTATCTGCACAACTTGGTGTGGCTTAGTGCAAGAGAGGTGCCACTGAAAGTTCATAAACTGCTAACTTCTATCTGAAAAGAAGTGCAGACAACAGGTCCTACCTTACACTTATCTGTGGGAGAAATAGACTGCATGATGTTTAATTTCTTGCCGCGAGTGGGTGCCACCTTGAGTTGGAATGGTGGGGCTTACTGATTCATACTTTTCAGCTAAGCAGCAATGATATTCCTTATAAATTTGGCGCATATGTATGCGTTTGTGTGTGTGTCTATATATATATATATATATATATATATATATATAGATAAGAGAGAGAGAGACTTTGTAAACTAATTTTCCTTCCGCCATGATGTTATCAAAATTTTGTATTAATTATTTTTTAGCCCCTTATTGTTTCAGTTAAAAACAACTAATCTACTTGAAGTTTAAAATTATGTACACTACCATTATAGTTATGTATCAAAATAAAATCGTTACTTTATCATTCAAATTAACAAAGTATTTCACATGCCCAAACATCATGTGGACTTTATTTATGTTATTTCTCTCCAAAAAAACATCGTTTAAATACCTAAAATGTCTTTTATAATATATGAAATAATACTCAAATAACTAGGACATTTAAAAAAAAAAATGGAAGAGAACATGAGTCAGTAATTTTTGGTCCCAAATCAAAAGCCTCACTTGAGAGAAAAAGAAACTCAGCATGTTGACGAGTAGAAGATTTCTACCTCAGCCTTGGCAGCTATTTTCATCCATTACATGAGTAAGAGTAAAAATGATGAAAAGTATAAATTTATAATGCGAGTATTATAATAATTTTATAATTTCATTAACGGTATCAATTACTTTACTTTAGTACATAACTACAATAGTTTAATGTGCATAATTTTAAATGTCAAGTAAAGTGTTTCTAATCAAAACCAAAAGAAGGTAAAAAAATAATTATCCCTAAAAATTTTACTAAAACATGACTTAAACCTTATTCACCAAACTACCATTGTTTTTATTAAGTCGTGTTTTTGAGACACGACTTTACACTAAAAATGCGTTTCAAACATGACCACTCCTTCGCAATAAGACCCGTTAGCAAGATTACCATTCAAACAAGAAAACTCCTAGTACACTGAAGGGAAAATTATGCACTTGCACTAAACTGTTAAAAGAAATAGAGAAAGATGTTCAACACTTCATTCACAACACTGGAAAACCAATGGGAAAAAAAATGTAAGATGGAAAATAAGATGTTTTTATAACAAATATGTATTTCAACAACTCCAAAACTTCCCAGATCCAAATTGACCACATAATACGACTCTCTAATATTCAACCCATAGGCTCAAATATTTATTCTTTCTTAGTCGAGGTGCGCACAAACTGACACAGACACTCTCGACTATTGAATCCAAAAAAAAAAACTTATTCCTTTAGGTTTATTGAAAACACTTTTCTAGTACCATACCAATTATGGTCAAGTTGTGCCTATTCTAAAATCAACTAATTAAACAAATAACATACGCCACCACATTTCTCAACATGGACCTATTATCCAGACAATTCCAAGCTAGTTCTTGTTAGTTGTATCTACAAAAAGTGTGGTCCCGAAACCACACAATCAAGAATCTTTAAAATTGTCGAAATATTAGGTTATTGGCCTCCCAACAACTTCTTGTATACTTTTATCTTTGTAAGATCAGTGGAAATTGCACTTACAGACAGAGAAGGCTGTAGAAAACGAGTGGTATGAAGACATTATCAAGCTGTGCTGTGTAGGCCTCCAACAAACCACTCACGGTTACAGCCAGGAGAAGAGAGAACCAGTGCTGCAAAAATCGACATTACAACGGTGAAAACTGGTATCAAATATGAATGAGAAGATAACAAAATTACAATATGTTTCACCATATATGGGCATTTAGAGTACCAGGAAACGGAAAAATTGCGAATATAATTGATTCCATGACTTCATAAGGATGACCAAGAATAAATAGAAAAGAAAGTAACTAATGCAAAATTATCAACGAAGCACCAAAAAAAAAGAAAAAAAAGAAAAAAAAGCATGACCTAATATAACCTATGAGGAAAGATATCGTCCAACATCGACACCTGACCAAGTGGCCATTCAAGCCTATAATGCTGGAGTTTTTGAAGGGTTAAATAGTACTTAAGCCACTTCATTGCCTGATAAACGAGGTTTTGTATATCCTGACAGGGGGCAACATGCTAACTAAAACAACAGTAGCCAAAATTGACAGTAGAAGATCAGAATCATTCAAAAATGAGAATAAGGTTCCCACCAAATAATAGCCAAGCGCCCATGCACGCATGGCTTTGGGCAAAGGCATGCAGCCAAGTGCTCGTGAGTGTCTGGATGCATGTTGGAAAGAGAGAGGGGATAGAGAGAGAGACCTGAGTAAATATATGTCCAGTTGTTGCCAAAAGCGGAAGGAGAACAGAGCAAGCTGCCAGGACCGAAGTTATGCCAGCAGCGGTACCTTCAATTGTTTTCTCTAGCAAGCATAAAAAAATTATTCATGTTAAAGCATTAAAGGCAAAAAAACTTACCAGCAGATGAGGTGAGTGGTACTTCTTTTTCCGGTAAGCTAGAAAGGATACTTACTGCCTGTTTTGCTCCACCGGAGAACTCCATACTTGTGGCCAACCATCGATGCCTAAATGCAATGGCAAAACCATCCACTTAATTTACAAAACAAAAATTTCCCTCCACAAAATTTAGAATATGTTTGCACTCATTCACACCCATAGTGATTTGATTATTTGAGTTATCTGCATATGTCTGTGTTTCTTTTCATCGACAGAATTTGTAACAGATATAGGTTCTTCTCACGAAATTGCAGCATTTTCTCAACTAGCAAAAAAATAAGGTCATGTCCAACGTCCAATAGTTAATAGACATAATAGCGAAGAAAAAGTAAAATTCATGTGACAGGCCCACAGAAATAAATGATGGGCAAGCCGTCTAGTTCAATGAGCACTTTAAGTTCTCCACACCAATGAAAACCCACAAGTTAGACTTCCTTCAAATTGCTTTAGATGGCTACATGCAATATTTGTTTCATATCATATAAGAAGAATGAAAATGAACTTGACACTTCATGTTCGGTCAAAGGATGAATCACCATGCAAATCCATTTTCACTATTCCACGACACAGGTAAAGCCGTTTTCCGGACTAACTGTAAGTCCCCCTAACATTATAGTTTAGATAGTTTGGATATACTACCATCTATTGTACACATGCATTACATTGTAAATGCCTTTTTGACTGACACAATTTAAAGAACGTGTCCCACCAGTTTACATTATTACTTTATGGCTTCAGAAGTAAAATATCATCAAAGTCAAAAAAAGTGCCAAGAAGGTTCATGTTGTTGTGGCCATAGCGTAGAGGAAGATAACACACTTAATGTAAATTTATAACCAAAAACCAATAAAACCCCGCGGACGAATAAAGTGGTTTATCCTCTGTTGATTCAGCACATGATCAATATTTCTTGAATTCCAATTAAAGGCATGAACGAGTTGATAATCTATCAACCACTTCAGTCACATGCTGGTTCTGACAACTATGAATTATGCTATGTCTGAAATTAGTACAACGAGAAAACTAACTGACCGAAATGCTACAATAACGTGAGATAGCAACCAGCACTCTTACCATCGTATCTCCAATTCCAAGGCTCAAAATCCCAGCGAAAGGGGCCAGTGGCCGGTCATTGAAACCAGAAGACAGCCAGATCGGAATCGCACATCCCAATAAGAGTGAAAAATGGCTGCATAGTGAAAAATAAGTCAAGGAATGAAACTACTCTTGGTTACAAGAAGCAAATGTGATATAAGGTTTATGGAACGAGAGAAAAAAATGCCAAACCTGACAATAAGAAGATCAGAGTCACGATGATCAGTAAAAGCATTCATAAATTGATGCACAAGGTGTCCCAGAGGCCAAATTCTCCATACCTGCCTACACACATTTATAAATTGATGAAAGCTTATATACACACACACACACACACACAGGCTGTTGGATGAATGGCGCAAAATGTTGCATTCAATGAAAAATGTTAATTCTGATACATCAAACAAATGATGTGGGCCTATATTGAGAGTGATCCTCTCTGGTAAGAGATTAATCCATGGTTTACTACTAGTCCATTACTTAATCATTAATTAGAGCTTTCAAGAATCTGTATGTAATATGGAAGTTACTCCTTCTATCATTCATGTGGCAGATGATGATATAAACCTCGACACCCTCTAAGTAGTAGCCTAAACTTTATCACCAGGCCAAGGCATTATTTTTTTTTTTCAGATAGGAAACAAAACTTTCATTAAATGAAAAGAAAAAGTAAAAAATAGTGGACAAGAAATCCACCCTATGAGGAAAATAAAAGAAGATAATACATCAGTAATCATTATGTCTCGACCAAGCAACATGGAATGCTCCTCCAGTTACATGCTGCAATCCAATCAAGGCTGAGAGAGAAAAATGGGATATCCTCAAACTCTGCATATTCTTCTTTTCCGTCAAAGTTTAATTATTACTTTCCAAACACATCACCTAAAAGATTGTGTTGTGAACATGCAGAGTAGTGAACAATCAGACAAGCAATTGGTCAAGTTTGAATATAAAACCTCACAATTGTCAGCCAGACACTTTTACCACTATACTAGGCAACAACCCCAGCCTACCTAACTGCTTGCCACTAGACAACAAAATAAGGGAAAAAAAGATTCTTCTTAGTTGTTGTATCTTGATGTTTTGAAGGCCAAGAACAATTTATTTCAAGCAGCAAAAAATCTGGACCCTAATAGCTTAACAATTCAAAAATTGTCCTTTATTGAAGTCCTAGGTTGTACACAGGAATGGTCAAACCGTTTCTAATTCCCTCTCAACTGTAGTATCATATTATTTTCAATTTCACACATTCTGCAGTATTGTTATTTTTATGTGCACGCATTCTTGCAATAAAATCAACGATCCACCGGTTGATTTCCAACTTTCTCAAATTTTCCCAACTCTTCCATTTTTATCTGTCTTTCTGCCAAGATGTGCATTGGGCAATGTGCTTGACATAACCTTTATATGTTCCACATATTCGGCAGCATTTATTCTTATACCCTTAGATATTAGATTAGTGGAAAATGTCGGGCCCACATGACTTCCAGCTATGTCGTTATTTGCTATGTATAACCTCCAATGATTCTAAATAATACAATGGACTAGTTCAACAAAGAACTTACTCGAATAATTTCCAACACTAAGAAAACAGCCAAAGCTGCCCCAAACGCCAGATCAAGAAATGCTGGCTGCAAACAAATAGAAGTGCAGAGAATACAGGACAAATCCGCTTAGGCAAAGAAAAATATTGCAAAATTTGAAAAGACCACTGAAGAAAAATTCGACCCCATATCACCTGGAAGAGAAGAGCAGGCACAAACATTAAAACAGCCATCAGATGGTAGTATTTCCGAAGAAGAATTCGCTCAATCTTACTATTCTTCGAGATGTTATAAAACCGTAGCAGTGACAAATATATGACAGCCACCCAGTAAATACATAGTGAGAGCCTCTTGAATGGTTCCGAGAACACAAAATTAATGACCCTGGCAACAAAAAAAAAACAAGGGCAAGCCAGATATTTTGTTATGAGCAGGTAACACTATATGCTGAATAAATAGAGTACTGAAACAAACTTGGATCATTAGCCCAATCTATTAATTGATATAGTTCCCATACATTGCTAATTCAACCACTATATATGTGAAAGAATGGAACAGTCAGAGGCCAGGCAAAAAAAAAAAAAAAAGAGGCCAGGCAGCAATGCGGTGGACCTAAATGGTCATTCATACATTTTAAGATTACAAATGTACAATTCCGCATGCTGTTAGTCATTTCACTGAATCAAATCCATTTTATCGTTTAGCAGGGACAGATGTGTGGGGTGCAGGACTTAACCCTGGTGTTTTAACCATCATCATTTTCTCATTAAAGCTAGAATACAAATAAATATGAGTAGGAAAAGCAAAACCCAAAAGTAAAGGCTGAAAGTATGATTGATGCTGCCAATATAAGGAAAAAGCTAAACAACCAAGTGATATATGCATAACAAAAAGGGAATAATTCTCTAGGAAGCAATTGATTGCCCTTTTGTTGAAATAGTAGCAAGAATTGTCCCTCTACATCCCTCACCTCTTCCTCCCTCTCTTTCTTGGGCAGAGAATCGCTTAGGAACCAATGTGACTTTTTGGCATGGAACCATGCTCCACTATATTTTTTTTTTAATTTTTTCTAGAAAAGGAAGATTATAATACTCATGGAGTGGACAAAAGACGTACAATGCAAAGTTCAACAACATGACCAAAAGCTAATTGGTGTGGGGAGAGTATTGTAGCCCACCATATCCACAAAACAACCTACAAGCAGCTGCAAGCATCATCTCTCAAATGACCAATTCAAATCATATTCTATGGACTCCATTTTATATCAAATTATTATATCAAATTAGACCTCTATCTACTTTTCCACATCCCACAGATATCAAGGAGTCCATGAAATTATGGTTGGTTGAAAACAGCAATTCTGTGATCGATGTGATGATTGCATGTAGATTGTACATTGAATGACATGTTATGACAGTTATATTCTTCTTGGATTTTCTCATGATCTTGATGAATATGTGATGCAATCCATAAGATGCTCAAGGAAACATAAATTCGAAGATGTGAAAGATAATGGAATTGACTTTCCATCAAGACAAAGATGCATATGGAATCTTGCATTCTTATTTTAAGTCAATTTGTTAGTTGTTAAGTGTGGAGAATTAACACAATATTAGAGAGAACAGAGAGAGGTTAAAACTTAACTTAACTCTCATACATCACTTATATTTATAGTTAACCTACAATAATAAGAATTACATATACATCCTCTTACTATTAACAATTTACACATACTACCCTACTATTTTTAACACTTCCCCTCAAGCTAGACTATATATATCATATAATCCAAACTTGGAACAAATAGCTGTAAGACGTGTACGGCTCAATGCTTTGGTAAATATATCTGCAAGCTGATCTTCAGATTTCACAAATAGAGTTATAATCTCCCCAGCTACTATCTTGTCCCGAATAAAGTGACAATTAACCTCAATATGCTAGTTCTCTCGTGAAATACAGGATTGACAGCGATATAGATAACTGTCTGGTTGTCACAAAACAATTGTAAAAGAAGTTGAACTGAAAACCCAATTTCTTGGAGGAAGTATAATAGCCAAGTCAACTCACTCGTCGTATGCATCATTGCCCTATACTCAGCCTCAGCACTGGATCTTGCTATCACGGATTATTTCTTGCTTTTTCATGAGACAACGTTACTTTCTAAGAAAGTACAATAACCAGTGGTTGATCTTCGATCAAAAGGAGAGTCAGCTCAATCAGCATCTGAGAAACATTTCACTCTAAGATATCCATTAGCTCGATATAACAGTCCAAGTCCAAGAGCACGTTTGAGATATCGCAGAATACGAGTAACTACATCTCAATGTAGTACTCTAGGACACCCCATGAAATGACTTACTATACTGACTACATAGGAAATATTCAGTCGGGTAATAGTGAGATAATTGAGCTTCCTAACCAATCTGCGATACCGACCTGGATTCTCAAATAGTGCACCATCATCCATCAAAAGTTTCTGATTCGGATCCATAGGAACATCAATAGGTCTGCCACCAAGCAAACCTGCTTCCTAAAGCATGTCAAGTACATATTTCCTCTGGAATAAACAAATACCCTGTTTAGATCGAGTCACCTCAATACCCAAGAAATACCTAAGTTTTTCCAAATCTTTAGTATGAAATCGATCCTGTAAGAATATTTTTAACTTGACAATCCACTCAGAATCATTTCCAGTAATCACAATATCATCTACATAGACCACTAATAGGACATATCCAACATCTGTCTGTCTATGAAACACAGAATGGTCTGTCTGACATCGAAGAAGACCAAACTCTAAAACTACATCTAAAAACTTACCAAACCATGCCCTTGGTGACTGCTTCAAACCATACAAAGATTTCTTTAACCGCATACACTCTTACCATACTCTCCCTGAGCAATAAACCCAGGTGGCTGCTCCATATATACCTCTTCAACCAAGTCACCATATAAGAAGGCATTCTTGACGTCTAACTGAAACAAGGGTCAATCAAGATTAGCAACCAAAGAAATCAATATACGAACAGAGAAAATTTTGGCAACAAGAGAAAAAGTTTCCTCATAATCAACATCAGAAGTCTGAGTAAAGCCCTTTGCAACAAGTCGAACTTTGAGACGCTCCACAGAATCATCTGGATGAAATTTAACAGTATACACCCAACGACAGCCAACAGTTTGTTTACCAGGAGATAAAGGAACAAGATCCCAAGTCCCATTATAATGTAAGGCATCCATCTCCTCCTCTATAGCTTTCCTCCAATCCGAATCAGATAATGCATCTTGTACATGCTTAGGAATAGATATACTAGATAAGTGGAAAGTAAAACAAGGAAAGACAAGAGACAAGGCATCATATGAAATAAAATGAGAAATGGGATGATTAGTAACAAACGAACGAGTACCTTTGCGAAGAGCAATAAGTAAAGAGTCTAAATTACCTGACGTACCAGGATCAGAAGGCGGCAAGAAAGACGGTACAGGTACCTTAATCGATGGGCGAGGACGGCGAGAGTAGACACAGAGAAGTAAAGTAGATGATAACACGGTGGGCAGCGAGATATCTGAAGATGAGGAAAGAGATGGTGGTACAAGGGATGACCCAAAATCTAAATCCAAAGGCTGAGAAGGTGCTGAAAAATATGGAATAGATTCTTCAAAAGTGACATCGGCACTAGTGAAGTATCGGTGGAGAGAAGGACTGTAACAACGATACCCCTTCTGCGTGCGGAAGTAACCAAGAAATACACATTTGGTAGCTCGAGGGTCAAGTTTGTCAAATCCAAGACCCAAATTATGAACATAACAAAAACATCCAAAAATTTTAGGAGTCAGGGAAAATAAGGACTTACCAGGAAAAAGGACAGAATATGAACTTTGCCCATTTAACACAGAGGATGGCATACGATTAATAAGGTGACAAGCAGTAAGAACAGCATCACTCCACAAATATCAAAGAATATTCATCTGAAATAATAGGGCACGAGTGACTTCCAACAAATGACAGTTCTTGCGTTCAGCACTACCGTTCTGTGGAGATGTGTAAGCACAGGAAGTCTGATGAATAATGACAGCTTTATTAAGATAAGCTGAAAAATGATCGGATTTATATTCCCGAGCATTATCATAATGTAAAATACAGATACGACAATCATGTTGAGTTTTTATTTCCTTACGAAAGATCTCAAATATAGAAAATAATTCAGACTGAGTTTTCATCAGAAACAACCAAGTCACACGAGAATAATCATCCACAAATGACACAAAATAAGGATATTTATTATATGAAATATTCTTTATTGGACCATACATCAGAATGTACTAACTCAAATGGACCAGACACACGATTATTAACTCGAGAATGAAATGACACACGATAATGCTTACTAAGTTGACACGCTTCACAAGCCAAAGGCGACACAGAACTAAGACTAGGAACTTGGCGTTTCAGATTCTGGAGAGAGGGATGTCCAAGACGACAATGCCACTGAAAAAGGCGACAACGAGGTTTGTAGAGCCCAAGTAGGTGAATCAAAATCGAAGTAATATTGGCCACCAACTTCATGCCCTGTACCAATCTTCCTCTTCGTCTTAAGATCCTAAAAAACACAATAAGAAGGATAAAAGATTACAAAACAATTGAGAAAACAGGTAATCTTGCTAATGGAAAGTAAACTAAAAGGAAACTGACGAGCAAATAATACGGAAGATAAGGATATATCAGGACTCAAGTTAGTAGTCCCCAAATCTGAAACTTTAGAACAAGTGTCATTAGCAAGAGTAACACTACGTGTGGAATGAGCAGACAGATAAGTAGAAAAGATATCAGACGCACCAAAAACGCCAGAGTCTATGATCCAAGAATTGCGATTGGAGGACAATAAACAAGTGAAAACAATACCTGACTGAGCAAAAGTAGCAGTGGAAGAAGATGGAACAGCCTGTTGTTGAGATAAGAACTGGGCATACTCCTCTTGAGTAATAGTAACTAATCCAGTGTCTTGCTTGGGTTCCATAACAATGCAGCAAATAGCAAACAAAAAGTGTTGCAATGCCAAACCAGAAGAAAGAAAAAAAAAATGTTGGACCACTGAACCGGGCCTATTAAGGCTGCTAGAATACTGAACCAATCTAGAAAACCGACCTGAACCACTGAACCAGGCCGGTTAAGGCTGTGGGAGCCCTAAACCGGACTGGAAAACCGGCTTAGACCGCTGAACTGAGCCTGTTAAGGCTGCTGGAATACTAAACTAGTCTGAAAAACCGACCTGAACCACTGAACTGGGCCTGTTAAGGCTGCGGGAGCCCTGAACCGAACTGAAAAACCGGCTTAGACCACTGAACCGGCCTTGCTAAGGCCACTGGAAGCCTGAACCGGACTAGTTTCTGGATCATTGAACCGGCCTTGCTTATGCTACTGGAAGCCTGAACCGGACTGGTTTAGCCTTCTGGACCGCTGAACCGGAGTAAAATCGATCTGAACCAGACTGGTTGGAGCTAAACCGGACTGATTGGGGCTAAACCGAGTTGGACCGAAGTGGGGTGGACCCGATCGAATTGGGCTGGGCTAAACCAATTTAAATCTGTTGGAGCTAAACCGGGTCTGGACCCTTTTCTGGGTTTGGACCCTTTCTTCTTCGTCGAATAAGGTTACTATAACCCTAGTCTTCGACTGTGCCACCATGATCAACCACGATCGCTACACGAACCACCACAACAACAACCACAAACAACGCCTCCAACAACGATGAACCATCACAGCCACCACAGACCACGCGATCACAACAACCACCACAGACTACGCCTCACCACCAACGATGAACCACCACAACAGCCACCACAAACCACAGCCACACCACTACGATGAACAGTACAACACCACCACAACAGTAGCACAAACAGAGCACCACCACCACGCTTCGACAAACACAAGCACCACCACAATACCACAAATAAATTAATTTATCTAGAATATATTTATGATCGTAATTACTCTGATACCATGTTAAGTGTGGAGAATTAACACAATATTAGAGAGAACAGAGAGAGGTTAAAATTTAACCTAACTCTCATACATCACTTATATTTATAGTTAACCTACAATAATAAAAATTACATATACATCCTCTTACTATTAACAATTTACACATACTACCCTACTATTCTTAACACTAGTATTAATATTTTATATGTCCTTTTAATATTTTTAGTGTCGGGTATTTTGTAATTTTTAGAATTTTTGGAATAGATCATATTTTTGGGTCAAATTCTAGTATTAAATATTCTAGAATTTAAAGTCCTAGTTCTAGTTAATTTTAGTTTTCTAATTTGTAGGTACTTAGTGTCTTTGAAGTTGTTTGGGATTAGGATTACTTAGAACTCTATATATAATTAGTGTTACTTTTAATAATAGATGAATAGAGATATTTAAAATTTTGGGCAAATACATGTTTCTTGAGTTGTGTGATGCAATTCTAATCCTGGGTGTGATGCCTACGGAACCCTAGGAGTGATTCTTAACCAAATTACTATTCATGCTAATGTTCACAGCCCCATTACTGTTCACAGTCCCTAAACAGTCTCTATTTTTTATTTTACAAAGTTGTCCTACATCAGTCCGGTATCAGAGCCGAAAAATCCTATGTTATGCGGCTTAAATATTGATATATGATGATAGAGATCCAAGATTTTGATGGAAGGGATGATTCTACAATAATATCTAGTTGGCTTGTTTCTACGGAGAACTATTTTGTTAGGTATAATTTCTCAGATGAGAGGAGAGTAAGGCTTGCCAAGATGAAACTTGTAGGTTTGGCAAAAATTTGGTGGTTTGGTGTTGAAGGAGATATAAAAAGATTAGGACAACCTCCTATAAACACATGGCAAAAGATGAAAGCTAAGTTTCAACAGAAGTATATGCCCTCAAACTATAGTAGCAAGTTGTGCAAACAACTTATTAATTTGCAACAAGGTAACCTATCTGTTACAGAATATATTCAAAGATTTGAAGACCTAATGTTGAAAAACCATATCATAGAAGAACCTTGCCAAACAATTGCTCGATTCAAGACTGATTTAAGAGAAAATATAAAGGCAGAAATACTTGGGCAGCCACTATACAACGTAGAGCATGCATTCCAAGTGGCACTTGGTATAGAGATATACCTAAATTTCCTTCACCAAGTTGGTATATCAAGGGTTTCTTCTTCGTCAAGGGGTAAAACTCAAAGTTATTTAGATTCTACTGTACAACTAGAGAAGATTCATCAAAGGCAGCCTAAAGCAACAACTGATCGAATAATTCAAGATGAAAAAAACCAAGTAGAAGAATCAACACAATCCCAAGCAACTACGCTACTTACTTGTCTAGTGGCTAAGGTAAAAAGTGAATATCCAGATAATTTTTTTGTTGTGGAGCCTGACAAGATGAAAAATTTAGCAACTAGTATTGAATCAAATGAGCTTTTAGAGATGAGTACGTTACTACCTAAGAGCTCTAAAATAGTGCTAAAAGTGTTGCCCGATGAAATTATTCTCATTAATGACTTTCAACTAGCAACAATGATGTTCCAAGAGCTTGATTTATTTGCATCTTTTAAGGATCTGCATGAAGAGTCACCAATGCTTCTTTCTATCCACTTTGCTCCATCAATTGATTTTATCATTCCAAAAAATTTCAACGACACAATCAAGGGAATCAATTTTCAAATTTTTTCTTTGTTCCCTCAATTAGAAAAAAAAAAGGAGACATCATCTTAACGCTTCTCAGAGACAACTACATATACAAGTTCAAAATTTTTGGACTTCCATACTACAACACTTTAAAACTCGAGGTCGAGTTTTCTCCAACAAGGGGAGAATGATGCAATCCATAAAATGCTCAAGAAAACATAAATTCGAAGATAAAGATAATAGAATTGACTTTCCATCAAGACAAAAATCTATATGAAATCTTGCAATCTTATTTTAAGTCAATTTGCTAGTATTAATATTTTATATGTCTTTTTAATATTTTTAGTGTCGGATATTTTTGTAATTTCCAGAATTTCTGGAATAGGTCATATTTTTGGGTCAAATTCTAGTATTAAATATTCTAGAATTTAAAGTACTAGTTCTAGTTAATTTTAGTTTTCTAATTTGTAGGGACTTAGTGTCTTTGAAGTTGTAAAGACTTTGGAATCCTAATCTTTTGGGATTAGGATTACTTATAACTTTATATATAGTTAGTGTTACTTTTAATAATAGATGAAGAGAGATATTTAGAATGAACCCTAGGAGTGATTCCTAACCAAATTTACTATTCATGCTACTGTTCACAGCCCCATTATTGTCCATGAATACTGTTTACAGTCCCTGAAGAGCCCCTAAACAGTCTCTATTTTTTATTTTACAAAGTTGTCCTACATCAATATGACAACACAAACGATACAAAATTTTTTTAAGCATCCTATTAGTGGATAATAAGGATTCAGTGTGCAAATACCATGTTCAAGGAAAAAATCTAAGTTTCCCGCATATTTCAGCAGCCTAAGCCAATACCAAATTTGTTTCTTTTCAGCCATTACACAACACATTCTTCGATCTCAGTTTCCCTAACATATCCCACGTCCTTAGGAATAATGCCCATTGGAATTTATAATAGACATCAACCATACGCCAAAAAAAGATTTGTTATTTTTGCTCCACCGAGGACCAACTCATACCAAACATACCATGCAAGCTATGCATAAAAACAACTACAGTAACTTGATCCATAAATCATTGTAATAGCTGTCAAAGGTTACAAATCAGCCGACAGTCATTATAATAGCTGTCATTCAGCCAACGAACTGTCAAAGTGCAATAAGTAACCCATGGATAGAATAAGATTTACACGAGGATAATTTCAAAAGTACTCAACAAAGCATATCTGATTTTTCTACCAATTCCCAAATCAGAGAAAATCGATCATATCCAAAATCTTCTACCTCCAGATCAGATAAAATGATTAAAACAAACAATGGCATAATGAAGATAATGAATGAAGGCATGTACCATATCAAAGGATGGACAGGAAAATCTTGAACAAACTGCATCCATAATGGAATGATCAAAATCAAGATAAATGCCAGGGAAGCATAAAATATAACAGTTCTTCCAATTTCATGGTTTTCCCTAGCTTCAACTTGAGCTGAACATGTATACAATTCCCAGATGTGGAGAGACAATTTAAAGAACAAGGGGAAAAGAATGAGGCCAAGCAGCATGCCCTGCAGGAAAGGAAATCGAAAAAACTTCACCATCCAACTAACTCATTATCATCTCAAGATGTTTCCCCTGTTACCCTTGGAAGAAGCGGTGTGTTGATATCATTGTGAATCTAACAACTAAAAAATCATACCTGAATAATGGTGCTTATCTCACTTCTTTTGCTTACAATCTGTACAAAAATGTTTTCTGACGATGTCAAGTATTCATTCACCTGTCCAGACAATGGTAATTCCTCTTAAAACTCAGTTTGCTTTACTAGCTAATATGGAGAAAGCAAAACCGATCAGGTATTAGAGAGAACTGACCTTTGCAACCGTACATGCAAACATGTCTCCAAAATAGACAACAAGACCAGTAGTCACCAAAAGTGCTTCCCCTAAAAAGATGGCGAACAAATGTAAAACACCTAGTAGAGGCAATAAGCCTTTTACTCAAAATGAGCGACTGAAAAGACAACACCTCAAAGATAAGGATAACCGAATGAAAGAATGATACAATTCATTCAGAAAATACCCTCGGATGCTCATGGCTGAACTGATGTTAAACTAGACACTGATCACAATTAAACACAAATCAAATTTATGACTGGTAAATGAAATCCCAGAGGGAACTGCAGGACATTGATGACGAATCTCTAGAAAACTTGGGCAATGCTATTTAATGTCGACTGCAATGTATTCAGTACTAAAACTGATCCGCTCGGAATACTAAGATTAAGTAGTCCAAAATCTAAGCAAATGGATATAGACGTGCGTGCACGTGAGAGAGAGGGAGAAGAATCGATTCTCACAAAGAGGATAAAACCACAAACGACATAAGTCATAAACCAATGGTGACATTCATGACAGTGATACTGATTCATCTAAGGAATCTTCCCATCTTTGATTGACTAAAACTCACCTTGAATCAAATTCTGGTTGATATGTATAATTTGTCATATGAACAAGGCACATAGATGACATAAGGAAATAGAACACCCAGGACTCTTTTTAACAAACTAGGATCTTTTACCTTTTTGTAACAAATGCCTCTGTGTGTGTGATTGTTTGTGTTTTTCACAAAGGTCTGTTTGTAACAAGTTAAAGTACACCCATATGAGCAATCATGTATTCAAATTCTTAGAGGAAGAGTCAATACAATGGACCACTACAAAAACTTTATTGATTTTCCCCAGGCAGTAAAAACTTTTGTCAAATTGACATCAAGACAAGTGCATTAAAACAGCATTCACTCATATTAACAAAAATTCAATTTCTATGTCTATCTTATTCGGGTTAACCCATTAGCTGCACTAGTGAGCAGCTGAAGTTGAAAACGATCAAACAACATACCAATGGACGCACACGCTGGAAACGTATGAAGAAAGTGCTGAATTAATTTCACTGCTGCCAATCCATGACAGAGTACCCACAATAACATTAGCAAAGTGTACGAGCCTGCAAAATGATATAACCACACAATGAGTCATCAATAATTGAGACTTGAACTTCAGAGAGATAAATATGTTGAGACTTGAGAGGCATAAATGATAAACTTAAATAAATGTTCCTAAAATCCTCATACATCACGTGTCGACCAATGCACAAAAATTTGAAAGTAGATGCAGATGTGTAAACTTACCATTATGAAGTTTTGTAGCGAAACACACACAGCACATAACTGCATACAAGGCTGCAGATATTAGGCTAAATTTTGTGCTCCAGTTACTTTGTGAATATATGGAATGATTGTTGTTGGGTTGATGGCAAAGAATGATGTAGAGGAGAACAAGCACGCCAAAGCAACTGGCAGATGTGGCCCAATATTGCAACTGCAGATATTCAAGCTCTGTAGAACAGAATATTAAAAACTTCACAAAAAAAATAAAATAAACACTGATAAATAAAAAAGTTAAGGAACTTTGGGCTACACAAAAACAACTTGGAAGGTTTTTTTTTTCTTCTGAAAAAACGATTATAGAGGGTATCAAGGGTGGTCTCATAGAAGCTTATTCACTTCAATTCCATAACCTGGATAATAAACTAAAAAATAAAGATGCCATATTTTTCTCAGTTATGAGACCGCTGAAACTACCTTCTAACTTTTTGGTGCTTAATAAGAGGTTATCAACTACAACAAGGCTATGCAGTCATCTTTCTTCAATAAAGGCGTGGTAACATGAAAGATAGTGAGAATTATTGTGTTCATCATAGAATAATGTTAGAATTAGAAGAACGTTAAAGTAATGAATAGCCCATATTCGATAAAAAGAAAATTCACAAGTTCAGGAAAGAACAAATTGAAGTTTTATATGAGTGGGATTGTAAAAGCAAGAGCAGTTATAAAAGAACAAAAAGAGTAAGATAAACCCTAATGAATCTCCTACCTTTATCCACTGAAAAAATCCATGGAGTCTTACCATCACTTTTAAGGGCATCACATTTATGTGAATTTCTACATGGACCAATGAGAGACTATTGCCTCTAGATATGTTCTCAGGTTATAAGAATTTAGCAGATGTGTTATTCCAAAAGAAGTGAAAATTGATCAAACTACATATCTGAAGCGACTAGAAGCTTGACATGTAAGAAGATTAAAATGGTTGCTTTTAAAATGCTTAAAAAATTATCACACTAGATTTAGGTTAAAATGTATTTGTGGTTTTTTCCCTTTAATTGTTGGTTGTAGGGACCGATAGAATTCACTAGAAAAGCGAGAAAGCAAATATCATTATGTCACAATTAATCTATGCGATTACAATACAACCTAAGATACATCGTAAAGGGCCTTATATAGTAGGGCAACACAGAACAAAGAAAACAACTAAACTAACCCTAATACTAGATATACGGGAGTAACCAGACTACTCTAACAGTACAAGGATCAACATTATATGTCGGTGCATTGTTTTAGTCACCAAAAAACGGAAACATCTCGAGAATATTTTCGAAACATTTCACAAACAAAAAAAACGGAGAAAAAAATTAAAAATTTATGTTTGAACATTGGTTGAAACAATTCAAAACATTAGAATTTTGATTTTCAATCAATGATTCGTTTTGATTTTCATAGAAACGAAAATATTTCAACCATTTCGAAATAAAATTTTCCTCATTGGGTAGATAAAGAGTTCAAAAGGGTAGGTACACATCATGTCAGAGGAATCCACGAGGGTATGGAATGTGGAGGCGGCAAAAGAGAAAGTAGGAAGAGAGTAGTTGCCTCTCTAGCGTTAGGGCAAACAAATGAGAGAGTTGCAGAGAGAAAAAAAGACCCTGTGTTCTAAAGATTAATGGGTACGTATATGGGAAGGCCACCCACATATAATGCAAGCCAAAATACTGGCCGCAACACTGTAAGGAGTAATTTTGTGATCCTAGTGTCTTGGAGTTGGAAGGATGTAAAGTAGAGTGACCTCCTTCGCAAATTGTTACACAACACGGGTATGTTATTTCACTTGTAAGTGTGTTACTACTAAAAAACCTATTAAGGTTATAATTTAGAGTTTATATCATTAGCATCTAAGACTACTTCATAGATTCTTCAAAGAAATTTCATATGAAAACGATTCTTCAAGGAAAGAATACGAAGAAAATGTGGTCATCTTGACACAGCAGAAAGGTAGAACAAAAATGTGGATGTTAATCGAACCATAGCAACTCTTCGATAGTACCTCTTAGAAAAGCCATGGTGTTTATTTCATTTAAAATATCCTCTTTATCACAATTTCACATTTCAATTTTAGTTGAAGACCAGACAATGACCAAAAAGGGCAACCCCCAATAAGTGCCAGTTATGTCAACAATACCAAAATTGAGTTCCAAAACCCTATCTCTTTTTGTTCAACTAACAAAATTAAAATACTTTTAACATTGCAATTGAACATTTAAAGAACAAACGTGTGCACACAATGCCTCTCTTTGGCTATTATGTGTGTTATAATAAAACTAAAAAAACCATATTAATGATGCGCCCAAGCCATGTGCATGTAGGAGACAAGTGTACATGCCTAACGCTAACTGAACTTGACATAAATAAATCAAATTCCTCACTAATTTACCAAGTTTATCAACAAGGGAATCTCAAATTAGCATTAACAGAAAAATCTCTAATTAGCATTTACTTGAGATGACACATTGTTAGCTTTCTAGCCCAAAAATTATTGATTTACCAAAATTTGTACCTTTAGTTCCTACTTCGTGTAAGGATACCGCTCTCAATAGCTGTATCAACCTTGAGACCATAAGACCGGGAAGCGTAACAGCCCCCAGCAGAATTCCCGACGAAGCACCTGGCCTGAATAAAGTCAATTTCATCGTAAGTCACAAAAATTAATAGGTAATCACGCGTAATTCAGCTTAATAAAATCAGATACATAAACCCTAATTGACCTTCTTTTGATCTCAATCAAACACGACAAATTAAACAGAAACAAACTGGTTAACAATATTTTGACGAAACTGTTGAGTGTTGAGAGGTTGATTTGGAGAGGAGTAGTGGTACCTGGACTTGAATGGCGAGAGGGAATCGGAGGAAAACTCGACGGCGATTTCGACGAAAAGGGCGAAGAGGGAGAGGAGGGTGAGAGAGACGGCTTCATAGAGGAGAGAGAATGGAGTGGAGAAAAGGATTTGAGATATGAAGAAAACAACCACAAATCTCTCGCCGTTCATCAGCGATGAAGCCATGGCCACCATCTTTTTCCTTTTCCGGTGAATGAAATACACTGTAATTCAAATTCAAAATTAGTTGGACAAACGACGATGAAACTTGCAGAGACGGCTATGATGATACGACGTGTGTACGCGCGTGTGTCAGAGTGTGTGTGTGTGTGTGTGAGAGAGAGAGGGGACGAAAAGGGTTTGGCGAGCACGAGGTCTTTCCGCGGCATTGATTTAGTCCTGGGTGATTAGAGGATTTGACTACGGAACCGAATATTTATTTATTATATTTATAATTATTTTTATTAAATTTATGAATATTTTTAATATTATTGTGATATTAAAAAAATAATAACAATATTCTTAAATGTGAAAAAAATATTTACAAATATGATTAATTATTAACAAAAATAATAATTTTTTGATACTTAAAAAAGTGGTAAAAATAATTACTATAATTTATAATAAAAATACTTATAAAAGTGATAAACATACCTACAAAAATATAAATCAATCACCAAAGTGATAAATTTTTTAATTGTAAAATAACTAACAAAAACTATAAAAATATCATTTAAAATAATAAATTTTAGAGGTATGATATCGAATTTTTTTTTGCACTACCACAGTCAAATCCTTTGAAGTAAATTAAAATGTATACCGAAGAGGATCTTGGAATACTTAAAATAATTATTTTATTGATTTGATGCCCAATATTAGTGAAAATGAATTTGATCTTAGTTTTATACTATGCTTCTATACAATTAATTGAGGCACACGGGATAAGATTGGTTTAGGTTCTGTTAGAGCAACTCCAACCGACTCAACAAATGGCATTTGTTAGCTATTTTGCCAAGCCAATTCAAAAAATTTGGCTCCAACTGGCTCTCCATTTGGCTCGCTAAACTGCCTCCCTCCATTCTCACTCATCACTTGTGGCTAGCGACACTCTCTCTCATCGGATCTTTCTCCCCCTAAATTTGGTTGTTCTTCATCACTGATCTCTCTCATTCCCCACCACCATCGTCCCAGGATTCACCAAATTCCCCACCACCATCGTCGATCGCTGTTTGTGGCCAACAAATGGCAAACCCAGCAAGTTCAGAGGTGGGGGAGGCGAAACTCCACACCGGTTGCATCTCAAACATTACCCTCAAACTAGGGTCGTCGAGTTCGTAGCTCTACAATACAACATATCTGTCTCAAATTCTCACTGAACAAACTCCACTTGTTTGATCTTTTTTTTCCCAAAACATACAGATTTATTTAGGTAATGCAATTTGGGGGGTTTATGTTGAGGATAAACATGTTTAGAACTGGATTTTTTTAGGTAATGCAATTTGGGGGGGTTTTGATAAACTTTTCGGATTGAGAATTTGGGATTTAGTTGGATTGCGAAGAATGTGTTGATCATGGTACAAATATAATTACTTTTTTTTTATTACATATTGTTGTATTGTCATCGTTTTGGATAGCTAAACTTTTGGTGCCACTATATAAATTGTTGGTTTTTCAGTATGTTTGTTTGGAATACTAGACTAGAATGTTTTAATGCCAGAAACCTTCGGCTTTATGTATTATGCCCAAATGGTGTTCAATAAAATGTAGTTTAGACATATTTTCTTTGGCATGGAGCAAAAGTTGTTTGGAGTGTTTGTTTGTTTGGTTGGAAAACTGAGTCAAAGCAAAGAAAATGGAATTGAAATTTTGTGTTTATGTCGTCTATATACGGCTTTGGTGTAGTATGTTTAGATAAGTGATTTTTTTTATCTCGATTTTCAAATGTTCAGCAATCTAATATTTCAATGTTTAAGCAAATAATTAAATTAACTGATGAAAAAAAAAAGAGCAAAGCATCAAAGGTGATTGTGAAAGTTGTTCAGATCTCCAATACTTTTGTGGGTTTGTGTTGCCACGAGTTGCAATCAAGATGTGTTGAAATTTGGTCAAATGAATGTATGTAGTGAGGCATTGTCATTGTATTGTGATCATGTTATTTCATTGGCATGAATTGTGGTGTTAGTTGGGAATATCATAATTTAATACTTGCAGTGCTATTGTCTTTGAATCTAATATATGACAAGAAGCTTAGTTATGGACACTATTTGTGACGCCCCCAAATTTGGGGGTCCCGTTGATAATCAATCAACGCGCGGAAATATCTGTGAGTGCTGCATAATCCGACATCACGTAATAATATTCTTTTACCTGGAATTTTAACTCACACGTGTAACCCGTGTTCTATCAATTATTTAATTCAACCGAGGTTCAAGATATTTCAATACATCTCATTTAATGTCCATTTGTATCTTTTAAACCAAGGAACCAAAGTCCAAAGACATAGCACTTTAGCTTTAAAAATTCAAAGTTTGGGAAAGCGTACCGGTACTACGTACTGGTACGGTTTGCCTTTTGGAAAATGCGTACCGGTACGGTTTTCTTTCTGGACTAGACTGTACCGGTACATTTTGTCCAATTTTGCCTTTTTCACCAGTTTTTTCATGTCCAATCCATTCCAAACCCCCCAGCATCATTTCAAACATATATAATGATGTTTATCGCACAAAACTTGATATTTACAATTTCCATTACAAACCATTTACACGATTACATATCAAAATTGAATATAAACCAAAGTTTTACACAAAACTTGTTTTCAAAAGCCATAAACCGGCTTTTCTTCACTCTTGAGGCCCCGAATGAGTATCATCTGCTGGAATATGCCCCCGCACCTGAAAGAAAATTGTTTTGAGATAAAATAGTCAGTAAAATATTTCCTACAAAGACTACTCCCTACCTAAGTGCATATGCAATATTTATATACAACATTCATACTCAATAACATTCCAAACAAGAATATGCAACTCTATATTAGAATTCTACCATGTCATGCCATGAAATGAGATGAGACTCACTCACGCATCTTTACCCGAGTCTTCACCGACTCCCACAACACAATGTAATGCATATGTGTAAAATATTTGTCCTTAATGAAATACATCCGATACCGTTTTGAGATAAATCATTTGTTCACAAAAACCAATTCATTTTTTTATGTTTCCCATCAATTGAATCATTTATATAACAAAATTATGTGTCTTTTTAGGGTATCAGATTATGGAATCACATCGACTGGCTCTGTACGTCATTACACTTTTTCGAAATTTCACCTCAGAGAAGTGTATGAACTAAGTAGTCAGGCCTTTCACCTGAGGGAGTGTTTAACCCTTCTTACTATACCCGACACAAGTTTTTCATGTATGCAACCGTGGGACCAAGTAGAATCTTCAATCCCATTTTCTTGAGCCCACCATCAACCCTCATATATGGTGTTTGATTAAACTATGTACCCACACACCCACACTCATGCATAAAACCTATAAATGTGATGCCAACACCATGCCTAATATGCATTAATGCCAAAAGAGCAATTTAATCACATGTCCACATGTTCCATGACAATTTATATTATATGCATATAAATACCATAAATCATCTCAATGTCATTACATCGATTAGCATATATTAACATTTGTATCCAACACAATTTACAAGTATGTTACTTCATAAATCATGTCCATAGCACACTTAAATCACAAAGGCATATTATAAATATATAACATGCCCACATAAACCCAATTTTCAAGGGATTACATAATAACTTTCACATATCAAATTCAAGCTATAAGTTGGCCTAATCCATTTCTATACCCTTTTTCCTCATTTCTATAACAATAAACCAGTGGTATACCTTTTCTATACATATAACCATTTCATAAAAACGTCTTAGGGTAGAAGTAAACCAAAGTAGGAGAACCCCTACCTCTTGGAATGTGAGATGAATGACAGGCACCTCTAGAACACCAACCAAACCCCAAATCTTTGATTTCTCCAAAGTCTCCTCTTGAATCTTCGGTGAAATCCCTCGTTCTTGGTACGTACTCGTAGCCCTCGTCACGTAGACTAACTTTAATTATTGGTTCAAAGGGTTTCGACCGACAGAACTTTAGAAATCGGAGAAGGAAGCTTGAAAAAAATGATTTTTTCTCTCTTCTCTCTCTTTCAATGTGTGGTGTGCTGAACAAGGGGTGAGAAATATATGATTTTTCAGATATTTTTTCTATTTATACTTTTTAATTGCATGGTTCACATTGCCCCACACGTTTATCACTTCCGGGTCTATTTTAAACCCGAGACAACTTAATTAAATCTCAGTTTCAGTTTTAATTAATTTTATTTGAACTTTCATTCAATTATAAGAAAATTTTATAATTTTTATTTTTGGGGACATTTGAAAGTTTATTTGTCACCCTTTTTGTCTCAAAATCTGACTACTTCAGAATTTGACGAAAATTGATATGGTAGCTCAATTTTGTAATACGAATCCAACGGTGAGGTCCATTGCATCATCCGAGCTATATAGAAATATGCATTTTAAACCCGTATATTAGTGACAAATTACTATTTTGCCCTTTTCAGAAAAAAGTTCAATTTTTCTTCGGGTTTTACACTATTCCCTCATGTCTAGGTTTGGGATATTGTAGGCAGTTTGCTCTTGTGTAGGCGGTCTGTGTTAGCTCAACTTGGAAGGTGCTTGGTTGGGGATGGTCCGATGATATGAGGAGTCAGTTATCTGGTCTGACTACTCTTGTCTGATGATTTGGTGTTTGGGCAATTGGTGTGTGCAATCTGAGCATTCTGTTATGATTTGCACTGCACTATGTTGATTGTTTAATAGCTTATATGGGCAATTGGTAGAAGCATTGTAACTGATTTATGTAATTGTTGAGCTGCTGCTGTTGATTGCTAATTTGGGAGATATGGTGTGGGAGACTGTTTATCTACTGTTGGCACTGTGGTGTGGGCTGCTGTTTGCTAAGCTGACCTGTGCTGAGAGTGAGCTTGTCTAAAGTTGTAGCAGGAGCTGAGCACAAGTCATTGAGCACCCTTGTAACAGTTTTCAGTTGTAGTAGGAGCTGAGCAAACATGTAATAGTTTTTTTTTCTTTGATGTGCTGTTATGAGGGGATGATGAGGTTTGGATGGTTTGATGCATCAGACAGTAAGGTTGATGCTTCATATTCTTTGAGCTGGTGCTGTTGTATTTGCAGCAGGGTGTGTTGTGTTGTAAGGAAGCTGAAGTGGAAGACAAAAGGGTTGTTCTAATTTCTACATTGAGAAGGAACATGGTCTTTGATTTCATTTCAGTTGGATGGAGCTGCTGAAGTTGCATTCTGGCAAGAATTGAGGTGGTTTTTGCTTTGGTTGCTGGACAGATGAATTTGTTTGCTTCTTGTAATTTTTGGGTTTATGAAATAAAATTTTTTCTCTTTCTAAAAAAAAAAATTATAATTCAAAAAAAATTATTATAATGTATGCACTTGTTGGGTACCATTTGAATAATGTATGACTGTTGAAAATATGATCGTCGTAAAATTTAAAATTTGATGACGTTGCACGACACGTCATCATTATGACGCTTAAGTGTTACGCCACGTGACATTTTTGAATTATATTATTGAAAATTAGTTAAAGTTAGTTGAAGTAGTCAACTAAAATAGAGAGCGTGGTTGAAGTGAATTTAAAAAAGTGGATAGTTAAAGTAATGAATATAATATTTAAATATATTTTGAGTAGCTATTTTATTGAGCGTGGTTAAAAATGCTCTTAGGAAAGTAAAATTGGGTAGTTTTTAAATTTGAAAAATGATATTAGCAAAAACTGTTATTAACCATAATAGTATATTACCGTAGGGATTAACCATAACCATTGAGATTCAAGAAAATCCGAACAAAAAGACATGAAATAGAGTTTAAGAAACAATGGAGACCTTATGAGAATTATCAGAAACTTCAGGGTTGCCGGCGTAATTATATATTAAGTAGCCAAACTATTAACGCTGTGTCGAGACCACACCGCTTGCACCTCGGACCGACGAGACTGAGACTATACTGGGGTTTTGCGTGGTTAACGTCGAATGTGTCAGTCGACAGTGGTAGTGTACATCGGCGAAGCCCTCTGCGCTCCACTGTTGCCCTCGCGATGGCTGATTCGCGAGTTCAAGTGAACATGTCACATAAAACTCGCTTTGCTTCGAAATCGTCTCGCAATGTTCACAAAGTTCCTCTCAAAGGTTAATCATCACGATTCATTATAGTTCAACCTTCCATGCTATTTCACTATAGTTTGTTCTATACATTGATTTCAGTTTACAAAACAGTGATTTGATATTTTTTCTGCTCTCTTTATCTTGCTTTTTTGTGTCAAGACAAGAGCAAGATTGCAAAATCCGAACACAATGTAGCTAAAGGAGCTCGAGCAGCTCGAATTCAGCGCAATAAGATGGTAATTTGTATTTCATACATGTACATGTTCCTGTGTATTCCGTAATTTCGTGGCAATTTTTATTGAATGAATTGTTGCTGTGACCTCATTGAAAAAGTTTGGAATTATGTAGATGAGGGAGCAGAAACGAGCAGCCCTTTTGAAAGAGAAACGGGCCTCCAGTGGATCAACTAGTCCTCCACGTGTTATTGTGAGCATCTCGTTACGTAGTGTTTCTGTTTATGACAATGAGGTTGGGTCGCGAGTCGAATGTTAATTGTTATTGTTGATTTCGCAACATAAGAATTTTCTGCAATTTCCATTGAAATGACTCACCACACTGAAGTGCTATTAAAATTGCTATAGTGGAATTTGTGTTTCTTGACTGCCCCCACGATTTTGGTTTATAGTTAAAGATTTCAGCTTTTTCCTCCCCATAAGTAGATAGATGAACAGAGGGTCTGTTATGCTATCTTTAACAGGTACTTTTTGGCCTTTCTGCTCTCGTGAACCTGAATGCACTTGAAGAAGATCTGTTGGCATTATTATCAGAAGTGGGAACTGGCATTGTGTTTCCTGCAGTTGCTTCATCCGAGTACAAGCTGAGAACTACGTTAGGCTTTATTAGTCTTTATCTGTATCACTAACATTCTGTGTCTTTCTTGGAACTTTGAGGAAGTTGGACTTCTCTGGTGAGTATAATATGGATTAATTTATTGGTCTAAAAAACAGTGGTTAAGCTGCCATTGTTTCTCTATGTTTGGTATTCATAAAGATGTTATTCAGCTCATGTACCTTTCATTTGAAGATCTATTTTATTGGATCGAAGTTATGGATGATAGAAGGATGTGAAGGCTTGGAGGTTTCACTTTATTCTTTCAGGTTGTTTTGGACCTATTAATGTTGAAATAACAGTCAGTAGTATTATTACTATTGGATGTTTGGTTTTAAAACAACATAGTGTGCGTAAACTGTAGCTATTGGCTTATCACCATTGGTTACTGATATAGATTAGATGATGAGCTTAGTCTGATCCATTATGTCATCTCTGTTGGTTTATGCGTCTTAAATGACCTTTCATTTCTGTAGACTTCAGTATCCAAAACATGAGTTAATAAATACCTAACCAAATTTGCCTGCATTAGGTCCTGAAGGCACCTCATGGTGATTTGTTGGCATGCATGGAAATGGCCAAGGTACTTCCTGGTTTGGAGCTTGGGTTCCTTTTGCTAATTCTTTTGGGTTGTTAGTCCCTCAAATCTGGGGCTTTTAGATCTTCTGTTATTTGCAATGCTTAAGCACAGTTTATATAACAGGTTGCCGATTTGATTGCTTTTGTAGCATCTGCAAGTTCTCCTTGTCCGGATGACAGCTCTGATTATTATATTGATTCTTTTGGATCTCTATGTTTGTTTGTGTTTAGAGCTCTTTGTTAAGAGTATTAGGGTAGTATGTGTAAATTGTTAATAGTGTTAGGATATTATATTATGTGTAATTTTTATTATTGTGAGTTAACTATAAATACAAGTGATGTATGAGAGTTATGTTATGTTTTTAACCTATCTATGTTTCTCTCTAATATTGTGTTAATCCTCTAAACTTAACATGGTATCAGAGCACAAACGATCTTAAATATATAAACACTGTTGTGGTGTGGTCTGTGTTTATCGTGTGGTCGTCACTTGTGGTGTGTCGAGTAGTACTGGTTGTGGTGGCTGTGGTGTGTGCTGTGTTGCAGACTGGAGGGTTCTTCGTTGCTGTGTGCTGTGTCACAGACAGTGGCAGTGGTGGTCGTTGCTTGTGGTGTGCGCTGTGTCGCAGACCAGAGGGTCCTTTTTGGAACCCTAATTAGCGAAGAAGAAGACAGGATCCAACCTGAGTTTTGGATCTGGTTCAAATCGGGTCAAGTTGACTTAAATTGTTTTAAGTCCAATCCCGGTCCAACCACAGTTCATCTTAAATCGGATCACGGTTCAGGCCGGTTCAGCGGTCCAGAGAGCCTTACTGGTCCGGTTCAGTGGTTCAGCCTAGTTTTCTAACTCGGTTCAGTATTCTAGCAAGTAGAAGGGGTCCGGTTCAACGGTCCAGAGAGCTTTGCTGGTCCGGTTCAGTGGTTCTGCCATGTTTTCCAACCCGGTTCAGCATTCCAGCAAGTAAGAGGGGTCCAGTTTAGTGGTCTAACCTACTTTTCCAATCCGGTTTAGTGCTCCTGTGGTCCAGTTTAGCTTTCAGCAGCCTCTAGTGGTCCAGTTCAGTACTCTAGTGGTCCGGTTCAGTCTTCAAACAATTTTATCAGGTCTGATTCTGTTCGGTTTAGTCCTTCAGCCTCTGCCTTTTTTTCTGGTTCAGTATTGCAGCACTCTTTGTTTGTTATTTGCTGCACTGTTATGGAACCCAAACAAGACACTGAATTGGTTACAATTACTCGAGAAGAGTATGCTCAATTCCTATATCAGTAATAGGCTATTCCATCTCCCTCCACTGCTATTTTTGTCCAATTAGGTATTGCTTCCACTTGTTTATTGTTCTCCAATCGCAGTCCCTGGAGCATAGACTCTGGCGTTTCTGATCACATGACTAGTGTGTCTGATGTTTTTTCTACTTATCAGTCTGCTACTTCACACGTAGTGTTACTTTTGCTAATGACACTTATTCTAAAGTTTCAGGTTTGGGGACTACTAACTTGAGTCCTGATATGTTCCTATCTTCCGTATTATTTGTTCCTCAGTTTTCTTTTAGTTTACTTCTATTAGCAAGATTACCCGTTCTCTCAATTATTCTGTAACCTGTTATCCTTTTTATTGTGTCTTTCAGGATCTTAAGACGAAGAGGAAGATTGGTACGGGCATGAAGCTGGTGGCCTATATTACTTTGATTTTGATTCACTTACTTGGACTCTACAAACCTCTTTATCTCCTTTTCAGTGACATTGTCGTCTTGGACATCTCTCTCTCCAAAATCTAAAGCGTCAGGTTCCCAGTCTTACTTCTGTGTTGTCTTTGTCTTGTGAAACTTGTCAACTTAGTAAGCATCACTGTGTGTCATTTCAGTGTCGAGTCGATAATCTTGTGTCTAGTCCATTTGAGTTAGTACATTCTGATGTATGAGGTCCAATAAAGAATATTTCATCTAATAAATATTCTTATTTTATGTCATTTGTGGATGACTATTCTCATGTAACTTGGTTGTTTCTGATGAAAGTTCGGTATGAATTATTCTCTATATTTGAGACATTTCGTAAGGAAATAAAAACTCAGTATGAGTGTCGCATCAGTATTTTACGTTCTAATAATGCTCAGGAATATGAATCTGATCTTTTTTCAGCTTATTTTAGTAAAACTGACATTATTCATCAGATTTTTTGTGCTTACACCTCTCCACAAAATAGTATTGTTGAACACAAGAACCGTCATTTGTTGGAAGTTACCCGTACTCTGTTATTCCAGATGAAAATTCCTTTATATTTTTGGAGTGATGCTGTTCTTACTACTTGTCATCTTATTAATCGTATGCCATCCTTTGTGTTAAATAGACAAAGTCCATATTCTGTCATTTTTCCTGGTAAGCCTTTATTTTCCCTAACTCCTAAGATATTTGGATGTATCTGTTATGTTCACAATTTGGGTCCTGGGTTTGACAAGCTTGACTCTTGAGCTACCAAATGTGTATTTCTTGGTTATTCCTGCACGCAGAAGGGGTATCGTTGTTACAGTCCTTCTTTGCACTGATACTTTACTAGTGCCGATGTCACGTTTGAAGGATCTGTTCCATACTTTTCAGCACCTTCTCAACTTTTGGATCTGGACTTTGGATCATCTCTTGTACTACCATCTCTTTCCTCATCTTCAGACATTCTGCTGCCCAATGTGTTACCATCTATTTTACCTCTCCGTGTCTACTCCCGCCATCCTTGCCTATCGACTAAGGTGCCCGTACCGTCTTCCTTGTCGTCTTCTGATCCTGGTATATCAGGTAATTTAGACTCTTTATCTATTGCTCTTCGCAAAGGTACTTGTTCGTGTGTTACTAATCATCCCATTTCTCATTTTGTTTTATATGATGCCTTGTCTCTTGTCTTTTCCTGTTTTACTTCCCAATTATTTGTTATATTTATTCCTAAGCATTTAATGGATGCCTTATCTGATTCGGGTCAGAAGAAAGTTATGGAGGAGGAGATGAATGCTTTACATCATAATAGGACTTGAGATTTCGTTCCTTTACCTCCTGGTAAACAAACTGTTGGCTGTCGATGGGTGTATATTGTTAAACTTCATCCAGATGGTTCTGTAGAGCGTCTCAAAGCCCGACTTGTTGCAAAGGGCTTTACTCAGACTTATGGTGTTGATTATGAAGAGACTTTTTCTCCTGTTGCCAAATTTTTTTCTGTTCGTATCTTAATCTCTTTGGTTGCTAATCTTGATTGGTTCTTGTTTCAGTTAGACATCAAAAATGCTTTCCTACATGGTAACTTAGTTGAAGAGGTATACATGGAGCAGTCACCTGAGTTTACTGCTCAGGGAGAGTATGGTAAGAGTGTATGTCAGTTAAAGAAATTTTTGTATAGTTTGAAGTAGTCACCTAGGGCATAGTTTGGTAAGTTTTCAGATGCAGTTTTAGAGGTGGCTCGATCTAAATAGGGTATTTGTTTATTCCAGAGGAAATATGTACTTGACATGCTTGAAGAAGTAGGTTTGCTGGGTGGTAGACCGACTAATGTTCCTATAGATCCGAATCAGAAATTATTAATGGTTGATGGTGCATTGTTTAAGAATCCAGGTCAGTATCGCAGATTGGTTGGAAAGCTTAATTATCTTATTATTACTCGACCGGATATTTCCTCTGTAGTCAGTATAGTAAGACAGTTCATAGGGTGTCCTAGAGTACTACATTGGGAGGCAGTTATTCGTATTTAGCGATATCTCAAATGAGCTCCTGGACTTGGACTGTTATATCGAACTAATGGACATCTTAGAGTGGAAGGTTTCTCAGATGCTGATTGGGCTGACTCTCCTTCTGATCGGAGTTCAACTACTGGTTATTGTATTTTCTTAGGAGGTAATGTTGTCTCATGAAAAAGTAAGAAACAACTCGTGGTAGCAAGATCCAGTGCTGAGACCGAGTATAGGGCAATGACACATACGACAAGTGAGTTGACTTGGCTACTATACTTTCTTCAGGAAATTGGCTTTCCAGTTCAACTTCCTTTACAGTTGTTCAGTGACAATCAGACAGCTATTCATATTGCTGCCAATCCTGTGTTTCATGAGAGAACCAAACATATTGAAGTTGATTGTCACTTTATTCGGGACAAGATAGTAGCTGAGAAGAATATGACTCCATTTGTGAAATTTGAAGATCAACTTGCAGATATGTTTGTCAAAGTATTGAGTCGTACATGTCTTACAGCTATTTGTTTCAAGCTTGAATTGTATGATATATATAGTCCAGCTTGAGGGGAAGTGTTAAGAGTATTAGGACAGTATGTGTAAATTGTTAATAGTGTTAGGGTATTATGTGTAATTTTTATTATTGTGAGTTAACTATAAATACAAGTGATGTATGAGAGTTAGGTTATGTTTTTAATTTATCTCTGTCTCTCTATAATATTGTGTTAATCCTCTAAACTTTACACTCTTGGAGTACCAAGCACTGTGGTGTTGATTCGTGTATGTCTTCTTCTCCGTCCTTTGTGTTTTCCTTGGAAAAATTTGTGACTTTACATGAGTTGGGGACGATATAATTTTTTTTTGCTCTGCCTTTAGGATCTACCCATCGACTTGAAGAGAAGACATGATTTGAAGAAGACATGTACTTCTATCCTGGCTTCTGAATTTCCTCAGGACTCTAAGTTTTATGCTGCAGATACAAAGGATGAGTTACATAAGGTCACTCTCTATTCACACATTTTGGTTTTCAGCTGTTAGCATTGAGAATTAGATGATAGATGGAAATGAATGAAATTTGGTCATTATTGCATATTGTTTGCCTTTTGGTTTCACTCTGACGCCACAAATTTTTAACTTTTTTAGTTCATGTTTCATTAAGAATTCATTCTCTTATGTATTCGTTGTAGTTCATGTGGCTTTTCAAAGAGCACAGGCTTACAGTTCCTCATCAGCATAACCAGCGGGCTTACCTAATGGCTCAAAGGGTATTATTAGCATTTCTGTATTCATTGGACTTCAGGTTTCTTGATTTAACTTTTGTTTTTCACTTTTTAAGTAGAGGATCCTTTGAAATCATAACATGTTTATTTTCATATTCCATCCTCTGTTCCATGTCACAAAGAATCTTATCCGTATGATGTTTTGTACCACACATTACCCTTTTGACATGATTATGTGATAATGTTCACACTTCTTTGAGCAACATTGAGTTCTTGATACCCTGCATTCTGGTCCCCCTTCAAATTGTAACAATGATGGCCCAATGACATAGAGATTTTGTTGTTTTTTAAGATAATGTGAATGGTGTGTGTATAATTTTTACATTTTTCATTTTCTTCTTCTTCAAGTTGGGGGTGACTATTTTACGAGACAATAGTGGAGAAATAAGGTAGACTCAACTCAAGACTAATTTATGTCTTGCACATACATATGATGCGATACATGAATCCACATTGGCATTCAGCTCCATCCAACCCAAGGCATTCTTTGGTCTATCCGCTGTCCACATAATAGTTACACCTTTAATTGGAAATAACTTATACTTCTTACTGGTGGAGTCCTTGAGAAATTTTGTTACTAAACATATTTATGGCTCTTTTTCATGTGGCCTTCCATTGATGCTACTTCTTCTTCCCAGTATCATGTCTTTCTTATGGTATCGTTTCTTTCATTGCCAGCTACATATCAGAATTTCCATTGCGGAATTCTTCTTTTATTGGGATGTTATATTTCTGGGAACCCTTCTTTAAGCAAAAAGATTGACGTGCATTATCAGTAAGGTTATGTTCATTTGATGAATTTACGACCCCGTAATTTTGTAATCCTGAGATTTCAAAAACTTTTCCTTTGTAATTTTTTTTGGTAATTTTATCCCAAAAATATTTGTAAAAGGAAATAGCTCATGTCCATGCTGATAACTGCTCAAGTGTTATGAAATTGAAACCAGTACGAGGCTCTCAAAAATGCCCCCTTATTGATTAATATGTTGGAAATATTCAATGAATTAGTAATATATGCTATTTGAAACATTGGGGCCATATGAAGTAAGAGAGACTACGAATCACCATTGCCCTTGGCATAACTTTTGTTGGGGTCATATTTTCTCCACGCCTCTATTAGTTATTTTCTTTCCTGTAAAGAAAAAATAATAGCCTGGCTTTTGTGTGGGCGTGTTAGTGTGCGTGTTGAGATGATTGAAAACTATTCCTCCTGAATTTCAGTTGTCTTAATAGTGGACTTACGTAGAAAATTTCCTGAGATTAGTAGTTGCCCTCTTAACGAAAGAATCTATAAGTAGAAGGAAAAGCATAAAGTCAAGTGACAGGAGGGCCTAAGTGTAAGAAAAGACTCCTTGTACAACACAACTCCAAAGTAGCTTGATTCTTTGAATCAAGACTCTATAGGTTGTACTTTAAAATTTCACATCATGGGTGTTTCTAGGCAGCAGAAGACTTCAAAATTCATGGGATTCTGATGCAAGAAAAAACAATGACACCCAGTTTAGTCCCCACTAATGGGGTCTGGGAGGGGTAGATTCAATATAAATCTAACCTTTGGCAACATCTTGCAACAAGTTGCTGTCTTCAGGTTCATACCACAATCTCAAGGCTATTTGGCCAGATTTCAACATCCTCCAAAATATGGTGTCCCGAGAGTTGCACATTTCCGTCCATCAATTCTTATCAGAAGAACATACCAATTTTTTTTTGTTTTCATTTATTCTTTTGAATTTTTCCCCTCCTTTTTTGTCTGGTCTGTTTGGGGGAATTGGGATGGATTGCCAATATTGTTGGCACATGTTTGTCCCCATGAGTGTGAAATTTCGCTTTTAGACCTTAAGAAGCTGGATCTTCAATGTATATAATGGATGTTATCTGAGCCCTAGGGTAAGGTGTTGAAATTTGTTTGTCACTTGCGTCATTGGACAATTACAGGTTGATTTCGTACCCAATGATTGCAATTCTGAAACATGTACCCTCGTCCTCACTGGTTATCTCTGTGCTCGCAATCTTGCAGTAGATCAGCTGGTAATTTGTTCAGCCTTTGGCATGCATATGGTGGCTCATTGTTGTTTTGGATCAGGTTCATGTTTCAGGTGCTGGGGATTTTCAAATGTGCAAAATTGAACTTCTCAAGGATCCATGTCCTTTGAATGCAAGAAAAGGGGACTTCATGGATTCAGACGAAGTACATGATGTACAGGTATAGGTTGCTTTCTTTAAAAATAATGAAGTGATTGTGTAAAACTGATTGTGCCTATCTGGTCATTTACAAACTTGTTTTTTTTCCCTCCTTTTTTCCTTTCTTTCTTTTTGAAGAACATGTTGATATCTTGTTTCAGTTCTCTATACCACGTATGGTAATGTGTCTTGCTTTGTGGGATGCACTTAGTTTCATTCGAAGAAGTAAATATCTAGTCTACAGACAGTACCATGTTGATAAGTTACACAGTTTCTAATAACTTTCATGAAGGTTGGTGCTGAATAGATGTGATCCTTCTATGTTTAAGCTAGATATCATTTTCAATATGCTTTGCCATGCATTACCCCCAT